TATCAACAAAGTATAGAACGAAACAAACTACAATATTACATTTTATTCATATAATTTACATCATTGTTTTATAACACAGTATTATTCCTTGTTTAATTCAAAATTTCATTTAAATAAACTTAAGGTGTGGGGGCAATAATGTGTATGTAGAGAAATGATTCATGTAAGAGTCATCTTACTTGCGTGCGCTGCTCCGATACTTTTTTGCCGTTTTTTTTTTTTATAATTAAAGATGTTCACATGTAATGTTTGAATGATACTTGTATTTATTATTAAACGTCTCGAGCATCATGAGTGCTGACATGCATTTATTATTTTAACACTAGCAATACGTGTTACATAAAATTAAATTTTTTTAACGAACGGCTCTGCAGTTTTTACAATACCTTTTAACTTTATTTATTTTTTTGTATATGTCATCAACCAATCGGCGGACTATTATCACATAGCTGATCGCTATATGTCGACATCGACTTCATGGTGTGTAATTCTCACGAACTAAGATAAAATAGTCATGGTCGGTATGAATGAGTAGTGCGATCAGGTTTTGTTATAGAAAATGTAGAAGGGAAAATATTCGGCGAGAAGTGAGCTCTGGCGACGAACATGTTATTAGAATACAACATTTTAATAATTAAGAGGAGCAATCAGGAAAATACATGGCAATTAGTAGATGATGACGTTACATCAAAATGTTCTCTTCTACGGAAAATTTAAAACAAAACCTGATTACCTGATGAGGCCTTGTGTCCGGTCCATTTTATATTAGTTCGTGGTTTAATTGCATGTGTATGTTTACATATCGGCGTGTGCTACATGGACAAGTGCACCATAACAATTGATAAAGTTAATTAATTAATTAAACATCAATAAAAACTTAGTTCAGGATTTTATAAAAAAAAGCTATTTTTATAAGTATTTTATTAGCTTTGATTTTTAAAGAACTATTTTAAATAAGCTTTTGTGTGTTTTTTAACTTAAACTTCAAAGAAAAAAATTATTTTTACTGTAGAAATAACTATGTTAAAGCAAAATAATGAGTACTAAAGCTATATTCCGTTTCTTTCTAATGGCGAGTTGTAAGTTTAGTATGAATTTAATTATATTCGATTTTTTACAGAGTATAAAACTATTATTATAAAAAATTGCTTAAAACGGTTAATAAAAAAACTGTAATTTTATGGTGAATAGGTGTGTTATTTAAATTAATTATTTGTGTGAAACCAAGTTTAAAATTTTCGAATGCGTAAGTACGATGTTATAAGAAAAAATACTATTTAATGACTTTAGAAATTTTGTGTGTTGAAAAATATTATATTAATAACATACACGTTATACATAAAATTTGTACTTACTGTTATACTGAGATAAATATAATTGTTTTTTTTATAAAGTATCATTTTATTCTCTCTTTACAAAATATAGTATAGTAATGAAAAATAAAATATGGTATTTTTGAATTCACAATAGAATTCTATTAAAGTACCTGTTGACATAATATTATTTGATTAAAATGCTTTCACGTTAACCCTTTTTGGATCGCTCTTGTATTTCTTTTGTTTTAAATAAATGATGTTTTTTTTTTATCCCAAAATAATTGTGGTTAAAATTTTTCTTTGAGGTAATATGAGTTAACTGAATAATTTTATTTGATGGTGTTCAATCACAGTTAAGAAAAATTGAAATATTAATGACTTGCTTGTTTCTTGAGTATTAATTTTTTAATTGATCCAATAATCTACTTTGATTTGTTTTATATCTTTTGTTGAAAAAGACCCATTCAGGTTGAAAATTTAAATGGACCTCAAAAAAGGTCTAAACTTCCGGATGTGTTGTAATTTGCAATAGACCTAAAGTATTTAGAGAACATCGGTGTTGAGTATGATGTTGAGTAACGATGCTTAGATGCTTATTGGTTGTGATTTAGCATTGGACATGTTGGAAATCTATATGTGTGTTGCCTTTTAAATGACTAAAGTTGTAGGATACGCGTAAAAGTTATTACTGAAACAACTTTTTATTCCTTCTAAGGAAAGTGAAAATGTTACTTCCGGACTTGTGTGCAAAAAAACAAATGTATACAAAAAAACCATAAATCGGATGGACGTCCGCATAGTCGTAATTTTTATGTACAGCCAAGTGACGTCCAAGTAAAGAGGAGCGCATCCGATAAAATCGTCCAATGCTTTTGTATAAGTCTACCGGTGTTGCTATTATGCGATTGGTGGCACGTAACCTGCGAAAAATATTCTCGTTATTTTAGCCATTTTTATTTTTACTCTATTCTTTGTCGTCGTCGTTTTTGTTGAACATTACACAGGATATTTATAAAATGCGTGCTTGGAAAACGCTTCTTTTTTTTTTTAACATGTATACTTTTTATATTTTCAAAGGACCCAAGAAAGTTAGTTTAGCTCTTTGGACAGGTGCCATTAGGGTTTCAGGCGGTTTTGGCGGCCAAAAGTTCGATTCCATAATCGGATCACTGACTCAGTGGTGCGCGGCGGTGCATAACCGTTGCGTTTCAAATATTATTCCTCTAAGCCAAAGCCAGTAAAATTTTGACCAGTTACAATGAACCCCAGTCAGCGCTGTGTTGAGGTCCTCATTACCGTTATGATTATTATTCGTGTTCGTGACATAAGATAACGTTAATGTGTCTCTTTCTACTCGCCCCACAACTGCGACGGTTAATTACTCACAATTGGCCAGCCGAAAGCGATTCGTCTTAACGCCGGTAAAAGCGCGTGTTGGCTGTAAATGCGTTTGTCTCGACGTGGTTTACCATTTCACGACGACTACGCTCAGTAAATTGAAATTCAACAAGCGTTACCTGTAAAAACAACTAACAAACTAACCTTGTTTAATTTAAAAACCAACCCTCTTTATAAAATCTCCAATGATACTTCTAATTTAAACACGGTTTTTCCATATTAAATCTGTTTAAGTACATTTACCTATACTTAAACTGCAATAAAAATCATTTTTTTGTGCAATTGGTTTTAGCTATGAAACAACAAGACAAATGTTTGAATGTTAATCATTTCTATAAAAGGTACTTAAATATCATTAAATATATCATATACATTTTCTACTTTTTAAGTACTGTTAATATTTAACCCTTACATTAAGTTAATATTAACAATTTTAAATTTAAATCCCAAAAAACTTAATATAGATCATTCCTATCAGTTTTGTAAAAAAATAATTTCAAGGAATATTATAACTATATTTGATTGTTTTATCGTCAATATTATAATTTTTAAGCAAAGCAGTAGAACCCATATTCTAGACCACAATTGAGTAACTTTTCTTCTAGACTAAATAGATACTTAAATATAATAATAATAGAAACATTTTTCAATGAATGGATTTCATTAATTGATACTTCTGTTGGTGAGCTATCAAATCATAATACATAATTGAAGTTGAAAAGATGGACTTATAACGTCTCCCCTACTCTTCATTTGTATTTTATAGTTACAAACATTTTTCCAACGTATTTCTTTCCTTGTGCTATTCTCATTACCTCACATTAATAAAAAATATCGTTATTATTTAATATTTGTATTGCGATTTATTCTTTTTTTTTACGAAAATTTAAAGAAGTATGTCGTTCAATTATTTAGATATAATATTCATTCAATTTTACAGTATTATTTTTATTTTAACATTTTCTAAATGATAAATTATGATAAATGTCATTGCATTTTAAAGTTTACGTTTATGTATAGTAAAGTAATTAAACGCGTACTATTAGCATTTATAATTATTATTATCACAAATAGTATGCAAATTTTAGATGAATATGTAAAGCAAAATATACAACAGTTAATAAATCATCATTACAATAACTAAATTCATTGTTGCAAACTTCGTTATTCCTTAAAATTATTAATTTTTATATTCTTTTTGGAATATTTAAAATAAAACCTTCAAAAAATCATAAAAATTAAAAATAATGATATTATTATAAAATAATTATTATTCTATTTAGAGTTTAAAGATTAAAAATTATGAATTTAAATCTTATAAATAAATCGTAAAATAATTAAATAAATCATTGTAGCAACAAGAAATTGCTTACAATTTAAAAAAAAAAAGAAAAACATTTTTTAGAAAATAGACTGGGGTTGTTAAATTTTTTTTGTAATCCAATACTATTTTTAATATAAGTAAATTATCAATATTAATTTTTTATATTTATATTTATATTTATCTTTATCTTTATATTTTACTTATTTTTACATTAAGTTCCTGATTGTTCTCTAAATTTAGCTTTTATATTGGATGAGTTTATTTTAGAATTCTATTACAATTCAATATTGCAAAATGATTGATTGCATATGTTTCAATATCCTACTACATTTTATAACCGAAGGGTTACCGTTTTAATCAATTTCACTACATTCGATCGGCTAAGTTTTATTTTTTCATTGGCGTATAAACGTTGTATAGTTCTATGAAAAGTTCTATTATAAGATTTATCAAAATATTTTTAGGCTTATGATTTATAACTTTTCCTTATCTTATAAATTATGTGATTTTTTAAATTTAAAAATAAAGATACTTGGATGGGTTTCATCAATATCATGTGGTTTCAAAGTTGATTTATAACGGTTTAATTTTTTAGATCTCATACGATCAAAATAAAAAATTGCAAGGGTCAATTAATTTATTATATTATATGTTTCAACGTTATTGTTTACAAAAAGCGCGAAAAAAAATTGAATAATAGAAAACTCACAATGCTATTTAATAGAGACATTGATTGCCATACAATATGTCAACTCCAATTTTCTGACTTGTTTTTCAGTTGAAAAGTTTTATGACATATATGTTGTATATTGCATCCTTATGTAATATTATAAGAGTTGTTATTACAGTTGATGTTAACATTCCTACGCCCCTTAGTTTATCATACACTTGAGTTAACTTTCATCTCTACCGGCCTATGGTCAAAGCTGTTTAATCTAATTTTATATTTTATTATGTTTCAGGAGACAAAACAAAACAAAACTTTCAAGTTTAAAGAGTATTTGTTCGTATAAGCGAGGTAAATAAATATATACAGAGTGATTCATTAAGGATAAACAATCACTTGCTCAGAAACTAGTGAGCATTTTTCATTTTGCAAAGGAAAATAATGTTTGACTTAAAAAATCTACTATAGTATGTAGTTAAATGATTTCTTTTTGTCTTTTCAGGGATAAAAAACCTTAATGTTAATTGTTTCTCGTGATAACTAGTAATAATACCTAGATATTATAATAGAAAACAATTTTGTTCATATAATTTTTTTTTACCCGATCAACCGTTTGTCTATTTTAGCGTGTTAAACTTAAGTGTTATCTAAAAACTAATGTTGAGGTTTTTTTATCCCTAAAAGGATTAAAACAAAAACTGCTTAATGACATATTATTGTAAAGTTTTTTGAATCAAAATATATTTTCCTTTGCAATAATGTTTAGTAGTTTCTGAGAAAATGATTATTTATCCTTAATGAATCACTTTCTATATATCAGATAGTTGACGCTTTTAATTCATTCCGTTTCAAAAAAAGTTTTGAGTATAATGTTATAGCAATAAAATAGTAAATTATGAAGTTATAGCTACTAACTAACATTGGTTTTATCAATTATAGAGAAAATGTCAAGTTTTAACGGAAAAATTAATTAAAACAACATCAAACGTTCCGATGAAAACTTATAAAAAAAATTTTGTTTTTTGAAATATCAATATTTATTTAATTTTTTATTAACATTTTACAAATTCATTATTAATCTTAACACATTCTTTTAATAATGAATGCTTCTTATTTGAATTCAAAAGCAATTATTTATTATTTCAATTATTGTATGTTGGATTTTGAATGAGGATACAATTTCACAATAAAACAACGTCATTTTTAAGTGATATAATTATTATGGACTTTAATTAAATTAGTTTCTATCGCGGCTATATAAGATAGCAGAAGTAACGTTCTGATATCTTATATAGCCGTTACATATGAACCGAAGATTATTTACCTACTGACACTACAACTACCGTATTACTATGAAATCAGTGACGACGATTACATATCACCCTAATAATAAGTTATGGACAATAAAAACAATATCAAACGATTCATTTGTTCAAAATTAAAGGGAATAAAACCGATGAAATAAAAAATTAATATCAAGGCCGAATGTTGGGATGTGGGGTGGCCGGCATCTACAAAAAGATTTTTTTTTTGTCCAGCTTGGAATATTGTTCAACCAATTTTTCATGAGTAATATTTTATACATTTAATGAAACAAAAAGTATATATCAAGATATCTTAGCACAAAAGTTCATGATTTCTTTTTAAAGATTCTACAACAAATTACTGTTAATATTAAATACATTAAATTTATAATATAATAAACTATTATTATCTTAAAATAAAAATTTAAATACTTAATAGACGTATAAATTTAATTTAATTTGAAGGTTTTTGACATAAAAATGTAACTTGCACTACATTAATTTGTATGCAAACACATCAAGGTAAATTTAATACCTTCTCAGTGTCAATCGAAGCTAAAATGTTCTAAAAAATATAATTATATGGCTGTAGAATGGAAACATTGAGTACATCTTCTGTCAATGTAGTAGTAAAATCATTATTGGTGTTATCACAAAATCTATATTAAAACGTTAACAATCTATTTAAAATATTTTTACGTTCATGCTTACACGAGTGTTTTTTTTGTTTTTGAATCGATAGAACTTATTAATAGATAAATTGTTTTTTTAAACACTATTTAAAATTATTACATGTTCACAACATACCAGGACTAGTTTAAATTTTTTTTATTAATAAATTATCAATTTATTTAATTTTATTGGTTTTAGTTTAAGACAAAAAAAATAATAATAAAAAAAAAATGACTAGCTCATAAATGTAGAGCCCTAAATTTTGTGGCAGCTCAAAGCACTCTCTTTCTCTTTAATATAAAATAAAATTTATTTAATCAGTTTTCTGTAGTTTATTTTGTAATAGTTTGATAAAAATATTGAAACTGTAATTTCAGAACTGTTGTTAATACTTTTCATCAACCGACGCAATTTCTAAGCAAAAGTATTTACAATTTAAGACTTGTTCGTTTTTCAGCAAAATTTTAGGTGATTATGAATAATTTATTTTAATTCTGATTATTTATTTCTGTAACATTTATCAATTAAAGTAAAATTTACATTTCTATTAGTTAGAAAAATTTTAATTTATTAAATAATAATATTAGAGGTATTTAAATTGTGAATGTAATAAAATAAAACTTAATACATTATTAGTTGTAAATTATTTTAATTAAGTCTTAAAATTAGTAAAATATAGTTAAAAAAACATTTATAATATAATTTACGTCCTCAAAAAATTTACATGAATCTTTACTAACGAGAAATAGAAGTTTATAACATATATAATGTTTAGGATAATTTCAATACTTTGAAGTAAAAATTGTTAATTTTAAGTGAAAATTTCATTACTTTTATGTAAAATGAATATGTATATGAAAATTATTATACTAAGGTTTGAAAATTTTTGGATCATTTCTTAAAATGTGTGATAGTATTCTATAAAGGGCCATATTTAGGAGGTGATTCGCAGGGACAATAGCTTCCCCGAAAATCCTTAAGGATGAATATTATTGTAAAAGAGCAAAATCTACAATATTAATTGTCAACATTTGGTAGATAAAAATAAATGTTTTGTTATATTATTAGTAGTTAATATTTAAATATTATTTTATGTTCTTAATTTTTATTTTAAAATTATCATTACAAGTTCGTTGAAAGCGTGAAAAATAATTTACCTGTGATAGAATAAAATCTTTTGACTTTTTTATTGCTGATCAATGTTATTTAATGATAATTCTGAAAAATCATTGTGGGCTCCAAAATTCATCTATATACACTCCACGCCAGAATCTTAAATACAGCCTTAATTCTATATTAATATTGGAAAATTCTCTAATATATTTCTTACTACTAAATTATTAATGACATAACTTCAATTGTATTGATTTAAAGTTTGGATATTTCTTATACAGTATACAACAAAGAAATGGGGAAAAAAGTCAAAACGCTGTATAACTGAATAAATAATTTGATGAATTGTATCGTATCGCAAATACTCAACTTTGTACAATTACAGACGCTGTTGCTATCTAAACCAATAATAATTGGATACATCAAAAAATAATCCTATTTATATATACATATACAATGTATATTATACATGTATATTTACTATGGTTATAATTAACCTTATTTATGGTTATTTTATACATTTATATTTATACTTATGATGCACGTGTATCTAAAGTTAAAAAGACAGAGTTACTGATTATAGTGAGAAATTAGATCTCGCCTTAAGTGCAACGATATTTTATTATAATAAAGGTAACAAATTTTTCCTTCTTAAAATGTTGAAAAAGTCATATCATATGATATCACTTTTAAGGACATATTAAATTTAATAAATCACTTATATTTTAAGTGAATAATTTGTATTAGATCTTTTTAATATAGAAAATTGACTAAAAATTTAGAGATTATTATTTTACATATTTTTTTTTACTCTCAGCAAAAAAATATGTATAGAATTCAAAAAATCTGTCAGTTAGTTTTTTTTCGAGTAATATTGACCATCCTGAAATCCAAAAAGTTCATGGAAAAAGCATATTTTAAGATAATATTTTTAAATATTTCCAATTTCAAACTGTACTTTTAACTGAAAAAAACTTAAAAATAGTTTACACATTTTTTAACTTAAATAACCACTCAGTAGTTTTAAAAATACGGAAATTTTCAGTATGAAATTATTTTACGACAAAATAAAGTAAAACTTGATAACTGGTATAACTTGTAACTAAAACTTTTCAAAAATTATAAAGAAATATTCTAGAAATGCAAAAATTGTGAGTAAGTTTTATTACATTTAAGTTTGTAGAGAGTGAGAATTTGTATACTTCATTTAAACTTTTCAGACAGAAAAGGTAATATATTGAGAAAATATACATACTGAAGTATATATTCACAAAAGTATGTTCCAATATGATATAATAATATTATATTTATACACAAAATGTATAAACAGTTTTCATTATTATAATTTTGTAACACAATCATATATTTTTGATTATTTTACTTTTAGTTCGAGAAAATATTTAAATATTAAATCGCTTTTCGTGAGTTCTATTTTAATTGATCTGCTTAACTGATAAATGGCTGCCACAGTAAATAGAAATATTAGCTATCTAGAGAAATATTTTTATGATTTTTATAGCGTTGAAGCATCTTAATAATTACTTTTAAATTCAGTTCTCACTTCAAAAAATCGTATTTTTTTTAATATATAAAGCTATATGTGATCATAGTTTTGTTTTAATTTTTGAATTTAATATAACAATTAATAAATATTTTGTTAACTAACACAATAGATGACATGTAGATCTTTATTTTTAATAGTAATAATTTAGAAAAAAATTGAATATTTTTAAGGTTAAATGTATAAAAATACATATATTCCAAAATGCTGTATTATTAAAAAACACTGTTCAATTAGTAAATACAAAATAATTTATTTTAAAATAAAATATTGTTGATATAAATATCATATTTATAATACAATAAAGTAATAGTAATAACAATGTGTATGCTTATAATTTTCTATTCGAATTAATATATCAGAAATAAAATTCATGAAGTTTTTAAAGTCGTTAGTTCTATTAAAAGTAAATTGTTACCAATAAAACCATTGTCCTCGTCATAACATTATTGGAAGAATAAAATAATTGTTTTTCTTTAAGTAATTCAATACAATTAAAGTTATAAAAAGATTTTCAGTAACAAATGATTTGATTTTTTGTTTTAGTAGTATAATTTTTACGAATATTATTTCGAATGTATGTTTTTTTGTAGTAAGTTTTGAACTACGAAGTAGAGTTGATAGTACTTACAAACAGAGTACATAATTGTAAATGTATGAATATAAATGAGTTAACATTTACAATATTCATTTTAACTCAT